GTTATTTTTTTATGATCCATATTAATGACCCCTGTCGTTTGGCAAATTTCTCTGATCATCCTTTCATGTGAATATCATCTAAATGAAGCATCATAGAACCAAATACCTTTTTTAAAATCTGTAAATTCAAAAAAAAAAAAAGTAAAAATTAAAAATTTAATAAAAAATCCAATTAAGAATAAATACTATTAGAAGAAGCGATCTTAAGAAAAAATTCTTCTGATTTGAAATAAGTTCCTTGACAAAACATATAATATACAATATCTGAAACAGGGGCAAACTTATCATCCATATCAGGTGGTATTTGACATACCTGACCTGAATTGTTTAAATTTTTTAATCCACCTGCATGATTTTTTTCACGTGGAATTGTAATTTTTAGACTTTTATCTGCATCTATTTTCACATGATTGAACTTGAGCCACTTCACATCTCCAACTCGAAATCCACCTAGAAGACTTAACCAAAAATATACACAATACGTAATAGAGGTTGGTGTATCTTCTAGAAGATTCTTGTTATTCAAGATTTGAATTATCTCATCATGGGAAAGTGAATCACTTTTATTAGCTTGTCGAGAATTTGATCTTGAACTAACTTTATTTTTCCATCAATTGTTGAATATAAATGTGAAAACTGGTTTTTATCAAGTATATTTGGCTTGGAATTTTGACAAGAATTCATTTGTAAATGACGGGCGATTCCACAATAACAATTATGAATTGACTTAGGTGCATAGAATTGACCATCTTTTTTTTTTAGCGCCACAAAGAAATTAATAAGAATAGTTTCCAATTCAGAATAATCATTGATTTGTGTAATATCACCCATAAGGTTTGTATCTTTGAAATACTTATTAATTGTGTTGACCCAAGTTTTGGTATTATGGCTTGTATTCTTTACGCCTGCATAATTAATTGTATCATTGATATCACTTTGCGAAGGTGCCACAAATCGTATCTAAAAAAAAATATTAATACACAATTAAAAATAAAATAATATAATATATCGATATAGGTAAATATATACATAACCTCTTCGTTATCACCTTGATTAAGATCTACATTATCATCCTCATCGAAAGTAATATCCGAATTTGGTAAATTGTTTATTTGTTTGTGCAACCTCAGGTCATATAATTGTGTAGCTGTCATAAAATTTAAATCGTCTTGACTCATTATTTAAGCGAAAAGAATGGTAATAAAAAAATCTAAGCAAGAAAATAATGTAATAAAAAAAATCAAAGCAAAAAAAGAAATGTAATAAAAAAAAAAAATCTAAGCGAGAAAAAATCTCAGTAAATAAAAAATTTTAGCGAAAAAAAAATTTAGGTGAAAGAGAGTCAAAAGATCGATCTTGTAAAAAAATTCTTATTTATATATGTAGTCTAAAAGTTTGTTTATACAGTGATAAAATATGTGATTTATAACACTAATCACCATCATGTCATCATATAGACGTAAAATAACTCATTTATTCCACTGTGTCGGGGAAATAATTGATATATCATTATTCCCACCGTCCCGGGGAATAAATAGTACTTAAAAAAAAAAAGATATTTTAATTTTTATGTAATGTAGCATATAAAAAAACTTATATAAAATTATTTTTAAATGAATACAGTATGTAGTAATTAAACAACCTTCTTTTTTAACTCTATTTAGTCTTATCACTATTAATATATATAAGCATCTTTATCATTACAAGTTTATAAACTAGTGCTAATACTATCATCTTTATCAATATAGTCTCTTGCAATAAACTTAAATAAATTTGGTCAAAATTGATGCATTATAGAGAGTATATATCAAATTACAATATGTAATAATAAGTATTAAAAAATTTTATAATATTTAAATTTATTTTTGTACCAAATCTTTTTTATATTAAAAAACAATAATATATTATTATTAAAGATTTAGTTAAATAGTCTACAATTATGAATGTAATGACTTAGTAAAGTGGTCAAGTTGTTAATCCTCTTCAAGTAGTAGATTGGATGTTTAAATCCTATTAACAGTAAAAATATGAATAATCATCTATGTAATATTTGTATAATGACAACTGTTACTAATAATTAGATTAGGATATCTAAAATGGCAATCACACCAGTATAACTGGCAGGTTATAGAACATCTGTATAACTTATTATACAGAAAAATACAATCTGACAAATCAGGCAGTGCAAACACTAAATAAGTTCTTGTGGCTATGTAAATCTATGTTATAGTGTTAGATAGACAAGAAGCTCTGGGTTGGAAGAATCAAATATACTACCAACCAGACTGTCAGAATAAACCAAAGGAAAAGAATATTAAGCCAATCTGATATACAGATAGACTAGTCATAGTTCTATATAAGCTATCTAAATTAAAAGTTTGGTAAAAAGGCTAGACAAAAGACAGAAGTATACTAAAATATTAAAATTATTCTGTAAAGTAGATGCTAAGGTCTGTGTAAACTCTACAAAGACATAGCAATTAAATAATATAACTCTGATTGCAATTGTTGGTTCTGCCATAGTAATATTTAGGTTAGTTATAAAAATAGATACAGAAGGTTTTGAAAAGTTTATTTTAAAGATAAATTAGTTTTAAGGTTTAGACAATAATTTGGATATAAGTCTGTAAGTTAATACAGATTACAGGTTCAAAGGGTTTAAAGTAGAACATTCAAGCAAGGATGTTAGGTATATCAATTAGTAGAAAACTTTTAGATGGCCTCCTTAAATAGATAATATAAAAAAGTCATATATATAGCTAATTGTATTCTTTTCTATAGTGGTTCATAGAATCATATTACTAATAAGTCATTAATAAAAGTCAAAAGACCAAGAAGGTTACTTTAACACCAAAAAAAAAATAATAATCTACAATTATGGAAAATTCATAGAACATCAGATTACAAAAAAGTTCTAATTTAAAAAAAATACTAAATTATATTTTATTTATGTTTTTATAGTATATAAATTATTAAATAAATGTTATAAGTAATAAAAGTTCTTAAAATTTTTTATATAAAATTGTTCAGAATTTTTTTGTTTGTTTACTAACTTTCAAAATTACTTTACTGCCAATTAATATGTTTATTATTGAACTTGTTAAAAATACTTAAATCTTTTCTAAAAGCAATTGTATTGTTAAACCTAATAACAAATTAAGGGTAGGGGGCACATAGATCATTTTTATATAATTATGTATAGTATATTAAAATTTTCATCTAAAATTAATATATGTTATTAATAAACCTTTTTTATTTTTAATTAATTAATAAAAAAATTTATAATATTATAAATAAAATTATTTATTTATTATAGTGAAATTTTGATATATTGTATTATTTTAAAAAAATATACTTATATTATAATAAAGTTTACTTAGGTGGGTTAAAATTTTCTTAGATAGTACAAAAATAAAAAATTTGATTGGTTAATTTACATAAGTTTATTAGTTAATTTTATTCTATAATTTTATATCTTAATCTTTAAAAATTCATATCTCAATAATTTTTAACTTATTTTAATAATTTTACTATTATTAGAATTAAAAAACCCTATTTTATAATTTTTACTTAATAATTAAAATTAGCTTATTTAATATAATTTTTCATAAAATTAAATATAAAAAAATTTGCTATTAGGTTTATATATAATTTTAAAATACTGCCTTCTACTCTTAAAAAAAATTCTCAAAAAAACATTTTTCTATTTATGAATATTTTGATATACTTAAGGATGAAACTTATGTTTATAAAATTTGTAATAAGGGTAAAAACATTGATATAAAAAGTTCAGACATATTATTATTAACAATAACATGTCACTTTAATAAAAACATCAAAGTATTTTTAGAGAAATTCAAAAATCCAATAAACTTATCTGTTCTCTTTTATATTTTATTTTTGATAAAAATTGTGTAAAGTTATTAAATTAGTACTTATTATAATTAGCCAACAACTCTTTTCATAATAGATGAGAATTGTTTTATAAAATTCATTACTATTCTTAATCTATGTTCTAAAATTCTTGTTGACAAACTATTTTAGAAAATATTAAAAATAAATTTAAATTTGAACAAATAAAAATAAAATATCTTTTAAATAATAACTTAACTAAACTATCTCTTATTTTGAATGTATAAACTGCATACATCTAACAGCCCTTTTTCAGAGTTACTGTCTATTGAATAGATACTGAATAGGCAATGCATACTATTTTTTTTAATCTTAATTTCTTTATATAATTCTTATACTCATAATTATCTTAAAGAAAAAATCTTTGGACTTATAAAAAGATTTAAAATTAAAGAAAAAATAATTTGGTTTACAAAAGATAATACATCAAATAACTAAACTTGTTTTCATTATTATTAACAAAATATGTGCCTTAAAATTATATATATGCATTGGCTATATATATTTTAAATCTTGTTGTAATGAAAAATTAAAAATTTTATACAAATCAAATAAAAAAGACTTATCATTTTTGTAACAAAATTAAAAACTCATTCTTATTTATAAAAGATATAAAAAAAATATCAACTATTCTAAATCACCTTCATCTTTATCTAAATTTGATATTGATATGAGATGAAATTATACTTATCTTATACTTAAACAACTTAATAAGATTAAAGATATAACTGATAATCTTAATAAATATTTTGAATTCAATGATTAGAAAATAATTAATAATATATTAGAACTTTTTCAACCTTTTTATAAAGTAATATTAATACTTTCAGATACTTATTGTCTTGTCATAAGTCTTTAAAATTAATTATTCAAGACTTTTTATATATTTAAACTATTATATTCAAAATACTGATGAATATCATAAAATAACACAAAAAATAAAAATAAAACTAAAAAATTATTAGTCTTATCTTTCTTAAACTTTACTTATTTCTGCAATTTTTGATTCATCAATTAAGTTCAAAATCTTTAATAAGAAGGATCATCAGTTGACTATAAATTAAATAAATACATTATATTTAATTTATTTTATTGATAAGATGATTATGTCTTCTAAAAGAAAAAATTTATTAGATAGTTTTTACAAATTAGTTAAATTAAATAGAAATAAAATCAAAACAGATTCATTGACTAATAATTCAATAAGTAAACTAATTACCTATCTTATCTTACTTTTTTTTTTAAATATTAACAGTGAGACTATGCCTTAAACTTTATTGAAATTCAATTGAAGTTTTTATAAAGAAAAGCTTGCTTTTAAATTACATATGAAAAATAAAGACTTAGATATATAATCTGCAATCTAAACCTACAAAAGTGGTCAAGCTTACCTAGATTTGGGTGTTAATAATAATATATGAGAGAGAGATATGATATTTAATTTATTGGATAGTCTAAAGATCAATTCTAGTAATAATTTGTAGTATTGAGATAGAAGGTAATGATAGACTAGAAGAAGAATTATGAGTTGAATTTGTAAAAGGTATAATTGAAGACTGTGCTGATCGTGAAATACAATATAAGATCCATATTTGTTTATATATTTGTTGGTTTAAATGAAGAAAAAATTTAATAAAAAGTGAGGTAGCTGTACAGTAAGGAATAGAAGTATTGTGAATATTAGAAATAAGGTTAATAGGAACTAAGTCAGATAAAATAGATATAAGAGATAGTATATAAGAAAAGTTATACAGTTTAAAACTATTAAGTATAAGAATTTCTTGATATAGATTAGAAATAAGATTGGAGAACATGTCAAGAGCAGTAGTATTTAAGATGCAATTAAGAGAATTAGAGATTAAATAATAAATTGTTTGAATAAAAGAACAAAGAGTCCAGTGTAATAAAAAACTAGTTTGATTGCTTGATAACAGAGAGGAGAATAAGAAGAGTTACATTTGTAAAAAGTATGAGAAACAGGTAGTTCATTTAAAAGAATTTTGATATGAAAGATTTTAAGAATAGAGAAATGAAAACTATGAACAAAATTAGAAGTCTTTTGATTATTATTAATATAAAGTCAAATAGCTTCCCAGTTGATATTAGGAACAATAGTAAATCATTATTAAAAACGATATTGAAATGTACAAAATGTTATAATATGAGTTTGACAGATAGTACGAATAGAGTGTCAAATAGGAATTTTAATAGAAAATTGATCAATAAATAGAGTATAGACAGGATTATAAGAGTTATTAGTTAGGAA